ATTTACTGTTTTAGTTTATATGAGTGAGTTCCTGGTTATTAGCTAAGATTACAAGAGGTTGCGAACTACGATCTAGGTTATAAGTGCTTGGTGTTCTAAGTGTTTTTAGAGAATATCAAGTTAGTCTCTTTCTTGTAGGGTGTCTTTGCTATTTTCTTTGTTGAATTCAAAGTATCTGATCCCGATTTTATGAAGAGATCTGCCTATTTATATCCGCTGGGCTCAAGGTAATTATTACATATCTACAAGTGGGTTGGTACCGTGCAAATCTCTCATGCCTTCCCATTGGCTGAGAACTTAAGAAATATCCTTAAATTAAATAAGGCTTGGATAGGTGTGCGAACCAAGTTCATTCATAGACAAAGCTTGAATCGACTAGGTTTTTGACAACTATATTCTCTCTGTCTTGGGAGATGTGATAGACTTTTGACAACAAAAAACCTTCTTAAACTCTGATTGGTGATCGCTGACATCAACTTATGTCAACCTTGATTTTTTAGGCATAACAGAAGCTCCCTAGTTCTTGAGATTCAAGGAGTTGGATCTTGAGAACTTTCATGATTATGCAGTGGCCTGACTTGATTTCAAAGATATTCACCTGAGCTGAAAGCTGAGGGGTGATCACATTGATGTGGACGACCTGATACTGGTTGTTCAATTTGATCTCTTATATTCTATCTTGACTTGCGACCTGGAGGTAGGTCGTGAACTATGACTTGAGAGTAAGACATGGGACTTGATGTGATTGTTTTACTAAGATCCACTAACCTTAGCTTGATCTTGCATCAAGACATCGGAGAATGCTTCAAATTTTGACTGTCTTTCACGACTTGGGAAATTTGGATTTTCTCGTGGTTGAAATTTCTGAACCATCTTGTTTGGTGTTCGTGTTTGGCATGTTGAATAAATGCCTTTTTTGAGTGACCTCTTCAGATGTTATTTGTCATATTTGACAGCTGGCTTAGTCAATAAAGTAATCTTTATCTAACAGATGTGTTACAGTACACATTAAATGTCAGCCATGAACATTAAATGCTAGTCATGCTGAAACAACATTCTCTTTTGGCGCAATAAATGCGAGTGAGGGCGCATTAAATGCGGAAGAGATAATTACGCCGGCAATTGACGTTCTTGATAAGGGCTAACGTCAGTTGGTTTTTTGAGAGGTGTGGAAATTACTCTTCCTATGGATCGATGACATGTGGTCGCAATCTACAGTTAAGAATCAACTTTCACCCAAAAATTGCTTATAAAGGAGCTGTATCGTCACCTTCTTCGCATAAAAAACCCTAACTTTGCCCTAAGTTTTAGAGAACTCGAATTTTTTCAGAGAGAAAACACCATTTTCTTGCTCTAAAAAAACTCTTTTCTCCTTCATCAGTTCATGCAAACCCAAACGCTACGATAGAGCACTCATAACTGCCATGACTATAAAAAAATCGCAGAAATGTGAAAAAAAAAGAAAAGGTAAAAGAAAGAAATTTCTTTACCTCACAGTCGCCGAAAATGGGTCATCTGACGTAATGGAGGGTTCACATGAACTTATCATTAAATTAAATGGAGCTTGATAGGTGTGCGAACCAAATTTATTCATAGACAAAACTTGAGTCGACTGGGTTATTGACAACTATATTCTCTCTATCTTGGGAGATGTGGCAGACTCTGGACGGCGCAAAGCCTTCCTACACTCTGATTGGTGCTCTCTGACATCAGCTTATGTCAATCCTAATTTTTTAGACATAACAATAACTTTGTGTAAAGTTATTATTAGTCTGTTTGGATAAAACTTTGTGTTGGGCGGATTTTGGCTACTTTGTACAAGGTTGTGGTTGCTTTGTGGCAAATTTGTAGTAAATTGGTGGTCGATTGTGGTGAATTTCGACAGATTATGGTGGACCGTGGTGGGTTGTGGCAGATTGTGCCACTTTCAGCCCTTGTGGCTAGTCCTGGCAGATTGTGGCACTGTCAAGCCTTGTGCCAGTGCTAGGGTTTCATCGAAGAAGATGAAGAAACCTATATTGCTTCTAGGGGTGTGTTTATTTGAAAACTAAAAAAAGTTTAGCAGCTGAAGTGATATTTTCTAATAAAACTCAATTTGATTTAAATTTTATGAATAGTAAAAGGATAATAAAGTCATTTATATATTTTTAAGTTGACTTTATCAAACATCTTAATGCTAGTGGTGTTTTAAATCGTTTTCAATGATGGTTGTGTTGTTTGATTTGGTACATTCCAATATCTCATAGGATGGATGATATTAAATTATTGTTGATTTACATACACACACATATATATATGTTAACGTTTAGGGGTAATGGTTTTTGTTGATCTTAAATCCTTATTTCCGTAGACAATTGATTTTGGCCTTTATATATGTTTAACTTTTAGGGGTAATGGTTTTTGTTGAAAGCTTTATTTTATTTTTCATTTCAAATTTATTTTTGCTTAAATCCTTATTTCCGTAGACAATTGATTTTGGCCTTTATCTTTATAATTTTAAAACTATGATGAGGGTAATAATGGCCAATACAAAGTAACTTACTGCATGTTTAGCTTAATATTTTTATCTGTATTCTGGATCCTATTCTCCAAATAATGTTTGGCACAGTATTCTAGAAATATTATCCTATTTTTTTAATTACATTTAAACCCCATAAGGTTATTAATTTCACTAAAAACCCCCTGAAAAAAGTTTAAAAATTAACAAAAACACTCTCATCAACCCAACTTGTCAGATTCCGGCAACCACCGTCGGTGATAACCAGAATCTGTACAACGGCCTAACTTCAGACCAGAAATGGCCGGAAGTTCACCGATGTGGCCTTTTCCGGTTAGATCCACCACGGATCTGGCCGGAAAAGGCCAGATTTGGCCGTCAGCGACGGCCAAAGAAATGGTCGTCATTGACAGAAAACGACGGCCAAAGATGGCCGTCGTTTGGCCTTTTTCGGCCATTGACGGCCATAACAGACCGTAGATCTGGCCGGAAAAGGCCATAACGACGTGTTACGGCACAGATCCGACCGGTTTGTGCCGTAACGAAATTTTTCGGCCAGATTCCGGCGGTGGTGGCCGGAATCTGACACTGCAGGTGGTGGGGTTGTTTTTGTCATTTTATATGTTAGGGTCTTTAGTTAAATTAGTAAACCTAAGGGCTTTTTCACAAATTTTTAAAATTTACCTCGTAATACTCCCCTATTCAATAACCCAATACTATCCCTAAAATCCTATCCAAAATACTAAACCAAACGCACCCTTAGATATCCTTATCAACAAGGTCAAATATGTATATTCATATTTAATAAATACTTCAAATGTAAAACATTGTTTCTTAAATGTGTCCTGGCGTCACTCATGATTTGGGGTTTAAGTGTTAACCTCATGATATTTTATGAGCACCTGTTCAAATTAATATTTTAGGGGTTGTCCGTGTTATTAACCCAATATATTTATTTTGGTATATATATATTGTGATTCAAAACTTTAATTTAATTTTTTGATTTTCTTTGCCGTCGTTAATTTTTATTATATAATAAAGATAGAAATATTGAATTGTTATTAGATGTAATTATTATTAACTTCTCTTTTATTAGTTAACAAAAATAAATGGTTCACATAAAGTCTAAAATTATATATATATAGTAAAACAATTTAACTATGAGATTTTGGATGATGATTTATTTATTTATTTGAAGAACACGTAAATAGTTAGTCAACTTTTGAAATATTAAAATTTATTTAAGGTCAATGTTATGGATTAATAATTTTGATTAAAATCTGTAAGTTTGAATTCTAAGCGATGAAATTGAAATAAGAAATTTAAGAGTATTATATTACAATTTATTTAGTAAATTAAAAATCTAAAATTAGACATTAAAGCGATGTTAACCAACGAGGATGTCGCTGTTCATTGTTTAATGTGTTTGAATGATGCAGGCGAAAAAAGAAAAGATTGAGTAGGTAAGCAGTGGGTTGCGAAGGTTGACTTTTAATAGCTACAGCAATGTCCAGTCAAATCCACGTGTGCCCCACACTTTTCACTCCTTATAAAATTTGGTTTAACTTAATTTTCCCCTCAGGTATCATAAATAACAGTTTACCCCTTATCTTTAGCATTCCGTTGGGATTTTGGTGTTTAATTCAACATATTATGTGTAAAATGTATGAGATTTGGATGTATATAGCCAACTCAATAATCATACATTTTTAAAATATCTATGTCTCATTTAAAGGGAAAATAAAACCATAAAATCTAGTAACTTACAATTATATCCTTAATAAAACAAAAAGTAACATATTCTTAATATATAACGTTTGACTATATTAATTATCACTAGATAGTCTGATGATAAAAGAGTAAAAGAAGGTTTCATAAGCTTACGAGTTATAGTTCCCACAGGCCTTAATACGGGTGGCTACAATTTCAAGATTTGGAAGATTAGTTGAAGTGCGTACAAACTGACCTAGACACCATTGGTTCCAAAAAAAAAAAAAAAAAAAAAGTTTGACTATGCCAAACTATACAAGAATTAATAATCTATCATTTAACAATATGATTTAATAGTCTAATTAAAGCATACTAAACTTGGTAGTCTAACTTATTTTGACTTTTTTCCTTGTCATTTTTCATTAAGGGCAACTAGATTAACTCACATGAATTTATGACTAAATTTTTCATTTAATCAAAGTCTTGAAATTCTGGGAACTAAAATTATTAAGGATGACTATATATAGGAATAACGGAATAAATTAGTTCGATGACGGAAATACTAACGGAAGAGTGACTATAAGGTGTAACTTGTCATTTGAGATACTTGAGGGGGGGCAAGATGTGCGCATACCTTAGGGGAAAATTGTAATAAACTCACTAATTATTTCAAGGCAGTCTGCTTCTTCTTCCAGGAAGCTACACATTCACATTCACATTCTTGTTTCAATCTAAAAACTAATAGCCTTTTCTTTTCAACTACAACTTCAACTTCTTCTAGAAGTATAAAAACTCCACTGTACCACCTACACTTTTAATATAATCGTTAATTTTCTTAGGTCAAATAAAGTAGACGTGCTCAGTTCAAAGTTTGAAAACAAGAAATTTATATTCATATATAAGCCAAAATTATCTCCATCTTTGATTGATTGATTAATTCTTCTCTGTGTAATCATGGAGGAGGCTATGAGAGCTTTAGGTAAAGGCTTTGATTTTACTAGTGATTTTAGGGTGAGATTTGCAAAGGGAAGTAATGGAGTTGGAGGAAGATTGGTGGTTATTGATGAGGCTAACAAAAGAGACATTGTTACTCCTCCTGGTGTTACTATCAAAGGAGTTTCTGAGGACATTCGTATCGATAAAGGGGATCGAATTCGATTTAAATCTGATGTTCTTGAATTTAATCAGGTACATGTTTTCTTTCTATATAATTCTAATTCAATTTCTTTAGTATGTGTTTCTGATGTTTGTTTGATTTGGTTGTTTTATGCAAATTGCAAAATATTTGGTCCTTGGGAATAATTTTGCAGTGGTTAAAGTTTGGTCGAGAGCTGAAATTCTGATATTGTGCAAAGTTTATTGATAGAAGTTTGTTTTAGGTGTGTGATTGATGGCTAATAAGATTGTTGAGATATGTGCAGCAGGTTATTTGATTGATATCAAGAATCATAGTCAATTGTAGTGGCTTCATGTAAATTTTTCCTGCAGATAACTAAATTAAGTGACATTTCTTGGTGATGTTGGTTCGATAGCAACAGCTGCTGTTCCTATAATAGTTCCTTTTATTGTATTTGTTTCTTGACAATTTGTCCACTAAGGGGACAATTTGTCCACTAAGGGATAGTCTATGTGGGTGTTTTTTATGGTCTTCAAGCATGGTTCTTCTGCTGAATCGATTTTGTTTGCTCAAGAATGATTCTCCTCTCAGGCTATTTCGATAGCATGATTATTGAAAGTGTTCACCCAGATTCTTTTTCCTTTTCTAAAAATAAATAGCTTGACGATTCTTGATTGTTGCTGGACTTACTTTAATGCTAAGTCTTATCTCTATGGTTAATGACATTCAGAAGGTTTTAAAGGGGTGCATATCCTGATAGCAAATAGATATTATTGTACTTACAATAACATCAGAAGTTCTCTTTTCAGAATGTGGGGTGCTAGTTCCTATATATATAAAATTTGCCTAGTATACCTGAAAGCATTTTTGGATTATTGTGAGCAAATGGCTTGCTGGCTATAGATGATGAGCTTATGATTTGGATATATTATTGTTTTTGAGGAGGCTAAGAACTCTGGTAATATGAACAAGTTAATGTTATATGCTAGGGTATTAGTTGTCTCTAAAGGGCTTTAGGCCGATATTAAAATAATTAAAGAGTGCTTATGACAGTGTAGTTTTATATCTATAGTGAAACTCAGCTTTGATGAATATGAATCATTTATTGACCTCAAAACATTTGATCTTTTCCTCTGTTTCTTCCTCTGATTTCCTCTATAAGAGGATCTTGAAAATTTCTATATCATCTTGTTAAGTAGAAATAGACATGAAAAGAAAAGGATACATGTTATAGACGTGAAAAGAAAAAGGTTACATGTTATAGACGTGAAAAGAAAAAGGTTACCAGATTGATGTCATCAAATTTTATCATTTTGTTTATATTCTCATCTATTAGATTTTTATCTCTCTTTTATTTATTTCTTTATTTATTTTTAAAGAAGGCTTACTTGTAGTCAGTTTTCTTACACATATGCTTCCATATCTTTCTTTCCTCGCAGATGTCTGAATTACTAAATCAGAGATCTTCAGTTCAAGGAAAAGTTCCATCAGGCTATCTTAATGCTATTTTTGATCTAAGTGGGGACTGGTTCCATGATGCTGCAGACACCAAATATCTTGCTTTTGATGGTTACTTCATCTCTTTGTATTATTTACACCTAACGACGTCTCCACTAGTATTGCAAGACCAGGTAAAGAAGTCAGTACCGGCTCACTGGGATCCAGCATTGTTGGCTAGGTAGGTTGTAAATACTTTAACCATTTTCTGGTGTTTATAAAGCTTCTTGATGCATTACAACATGGAGAAAGAATTAACTGTATGATATATGAAGAACATGACCTACATTTATGTTCTAGAGCTTGTCTTTGGATCATGTTTGCTTAAATTATGTCCATTGTGTTTCAAATCTGGGCTTATACATTTTTTTCATTTTTTTAGTGTAAATACATTTCTTCATCGTGGTATTATTATGTAAAAAATATTTGACTGTGTTTTAATGATTCCAGATCAAGCTTGTAGTCTATAAAAGTGAAATGGATATGAATATGGTTAAGATTCAAATATGCACTCCAATATGTCAATTCTTGAAAATGTATTATGGATAAACAAGTAATGATTTGTTTTATACATTTATGTTAAATATTTTGCTGTTAAAGATTATATGATGCAGCCTATCATTGTTTAGTTACAAATACATTCTGAATTGCATATCAAAAGATACATCATACACCCTTTCATAAGTTTATCTTACAATTGCATTCCTAACAAATGCTAAAAGTTGCTGTAGCTGAAGTTTAGCAAGTGTGTGATACACATTATAAGGTTTCAAGAAGTATCCAATACTCTTCTTGATTTATTAAAAATAGGAAAAAAAATTAAAAGAAAAAAAATTATGAACTTTAGATACTTTTGTTTAATACTTCTACATATCCAGGGGTATAAATATCTTATATTGTTAGTACACATCTGAAACTCGAAAATCTGTAAACTATTCCCTAATTCTGCAGCTTTCAAATTTTTTGAGATCTGTAAATGAAATCTCCATATCCCTAGTTTATGATTCTAACCTTGTTATATGGATCATATCCTAATTCAGAAGTTCCAAGTAGGAGCATCAATTCTGAATGGTTAATATATTGACAAGGGTAGGGCTTTGTTCAAGATTATTCTTATATTCCTGGAAGAAAAGGTCTTTCTCCACATGGATGTTTCACCTCAATTGAAAAGATTTATGCATATCCTGTTGTAGCAGCATCTTTTTTTCCTTGTCTTATATTCTATGCAAGGTTCATATTCATACTTATTGAATTCGTGTCATATTAAGTGAAGATTGCTCTTATCTACTTGAATCTGCAAAGTTCTAATGATAGTACAAGGTGAATTTTATACGTTTGAAAATTCCATAGCAGGTAATAGAAGGTTTTGAGATGGCAAAGAACTTTGTCAGTATAGTGATTGATAATGTCAAGTAGGTGGCAGTAGAAGATAAGAGTCACAGGTCTTACGTTGAAGACCTTTCATATACTCTTAAAGGAACATCCATTTTCTATTAAATGGTTTACAAAAATTGAGCTTTCATATTCATAATAATGCTGACCACTTTAATGATTGCCATGAGTTCAGAATAAAAAGGAGTTGAGCTTAACTTCATAGGAAAACTGCCTTTAAATATACCATTACAAGACCTAGATATAGCTCCTAAAGCAGCTATTTAATATGTGATTCAAGAAATTTTTGATTAATTATATACTATATGAAATGTTTTTTTTAACTAGGTCTCGAGGAATAGTGAATATTGATGTTTGAGAATTATAAATTGAATTTTGTTACCAAATTTTAATCATCCATTAAGATAAAATTGAGGAAGTGATTTTTGTTGTCATAGCCATGTGCTACAACATTTTGGATAGGAAACCTATTAATAGCACTTTCTTTGGAATTCTTTTTGCTTCACTTCATATATATATATATATATATATATATATATATATACACACACACACAATGAACGCATGAGTGTGTGTGTGTGTTGCATGTCCTAGTTCTTCATCTATTATATTGAATTTTCGATTGACTGTCCTTGATCTTATATTACCATGGCTTTTTATGTATTTTGATGCTAATCAATATTATTAGGCAGGTTTATCCAGACATATGGGACGCACATAATAGTAGGGATGGCTGTTGGAGGCCTGGATTTAATTTGTGTTAGACAGAAACCTTCTTCACCTATTCTGCCTGCAGACCTCAGAAGACACTTAGAGGACCTTGGCGATTATCTATTTTCTGACGGAAAAAGCCCCTCTCTACTACAAGGGAAAACAAGAGATGGCAAGCAAAAGGTATTTGTGCTGCACTTATAATTTAATTTCATTTTTGATCCATGTATATGATTTGATAAAGTCTAGTATTTCTATAGGTTCCCGAGGTTTTTAATCGTATTCTGAAGTCAAACACCATGCAGTTGACCAGTATTACAGAGACATCAAGCAAAGATGTAAGTCAAGAACTGTTTGAGAGCACATCTATTTGCTATTAATCATGTTAGAGGTTGTGGATCTTTATTATTCTCCTCTATCTTTTATTTGGACCAGGGACTCACTATCATTTGTTCTAAAAGAGGAGGAGATGTGTTCTTGCACAGCCACTCCAGTTGGCTCCAAACAGTTCCTTCTAAACCAGAAGGGATTCTCTTCAAGTTTGTGCCTATTACTTCTCTTCTTACTGGGATTCCCGGCAGCGGCTATCTTAGTCATGCAATTAACTTGTATTTGCGTTGTAAGTATTTCAATGCCATTTGACAAATTGGGAATTAATCATACATTTACTGACCCTGGTCCATTGCTCAGCCTCTGCCATTTTTGAAGTAGCACAGTTTAGATGGTTTATAATTGTATGTTAACTAGTTTCTGTGAGTGCAGACCCCCACATGAATACACAAACAAACACACCCATAGATACACAGGAAGATTAAGGACAAGATTGTAATATGTTTTTAGGGTTTCAATACGAGAAGTAAAAAATTGCATCTGCACTGGTTCTATTTCTTTATCTTTTAAAGATAACATTTAAGGTAACTCAAAATCTATGTACTGGAAAAACAGAAAGTAGACATATTTGTCTGTTTCCCTTATTATGATATAGTCTTTCTTTCCTAGGTCATTGCTGCATTTATTTGTTATTTTTTTTCCTGAGTTTTACATATTCTAACAGTGTTAATTTTTTCATTAACTTTTTCTCTTCCTAGACAAGCCTGCTCCAGAGGATTTACAGTACTTCTTGGAGTTTCAAGTTCCAAGGCAATGGGCACCTATGTTCTGTGAGCTGCCTCTTCGCCATCAAAGAAAAAAAGATTCTTGTCCTTCTTTGCAATTTAGTTTCATGGGTCCTAAGATCCATGTCATCTCTACACAGGTACTAGATATTGAACAAAGTTATAATATTCAGTTGTTAGCTCAGTTTTGCATAACTACAGATTTCTGTTCAGGATAATGAAGTCTTCATTTTCTTGTTTGGGAATTAGATATTCTTAAAGCTAAAAGTGTTTGAAGTTCAATGACAATCTTAATAATGCTGAGTTTAAGAGTTTACATATGAAATAAGCTTGCATTTTCTATAGTACCTCTGTCAAAATTGTATTTTATACCAATATTGACAATTACTAAATCAGTAGTGTATCTGAACTAAAACTTAAGATTAAATGTTACCTATCCCACAGGACCCTATGTCTGAAATAAACTTGAAAACTGTTAAGACTGAATGTAAAATATCAATAGTGGTCTCCTTTCCATGTCTGGATAAAAGGCCTCACATCCTAAAGCTCCATAAAGGGGTAGGCTGCACTTTTTGGTCCCTTGAGTTTGGCTGGGCATTGCATTAATATTGTCTCCTTTGGTTAATATGTAAAAGTTTAAACGGAGAAGCATTTTGCATTAGGATTAATATGGATTAGGTTAGTATGATATGTATGATATAGATTAAATAATACTAATAATCCAAGCATTTACAGGAACTAACTGTTACTAATACTTTTTCAAATGTTTTAAGACATTTATTGGGATACGGGTGGTGGGGGTGGCGCACTGTTTCCTATACAGTCTATTTCTGGTGTTAAATTTTGTTCTGTCTATCAAACTTGATGAGGTTTATGTAATTTTTGATGGTGAGATCCACATTTTGATAACTACAGCAGTGTAAGTAAGGCACAATCCCATGGATCAGAAGGAGTGCCATGTAATTAGTTTATGCGGTGGTTGGATTGGCGTCTAATCTTTACATTCATGACATATTTTCTATGTACAAATGATATCCCTTCCAACCCTTCTCCCTTGTTATCTCGTTAACTTATAGCCCCTTACCCTGAGCTTATTTCCTTATCTTCCTACTGACAGTTTCACATTTGAGGCAAAGGACCCCATATTACAAGTCTGACACTTAAAAGCACTTGGACAATCCTATTGTTTACATCTCAAGAACTTTCTGGTTCGATATAGTTCTAGCCTTGTAAAATTGATAAACATGCTTTGAATTACGTTTTAGAAAGATATTTTTAGTATGTATGCAAACATATTAGGATATATATGGTGCATATGCATAGAGAGCCACTATATCTATGTTTTGTTTTGGCATGTTGAATTGAAATTGTTTTTAAATGTCACTAGTGACAAGTGTAGCTTGGTTTTATCAGAGTTCATCAATCTTAGTTGACATTGTTACTCAACTAGTGGTTCATCTCAAAGGTTTAATGAATTATAGAACTGCAGTTATTGATTTTGTACTCTAAATTCTCTTTCCCATGCCATTTCAGGTGTCAAGTGATCAAAAACCAGTTGTAGGCCTACGATTATACTTGGAAGGAAAGAAATGTGACCGGCTGGCATTGCATGCACAGCATCTCTCAAGCCTTCCGAATATTATGACCTTATCATCAGCTAACGACCCCAGGCCATTTCAATGGCGTGGTTCTGATGACTACAGGTTTAGTGACCAATTTTTAGAACCAGTCAAATGGAAGAGATACTCCAATGTATGCACATCAGTTGTTAAACATGATCCCAGTTGGTTGCATGGGGAGTCCTCCGGTGTTTTCATTGTAACCGGTGCACAGCTCTTGAGCAAGGGAAAGTGGCCGAAGACAGTGCTGCATCTTCGTCTTCTCTTCACCTACTTACCCAATTGCATGATCCGAAAGACAGAGTGGGCTGCTGCCCCAAGAAATTCTCAGAAATCTAGTTTCCTTACGAATCTGAGTACAACATTCACGTTTACCCAACGGAGCATCACAGGTCCTCAAAAGCAAGCTCCAGCTGTACTTAACTCTGGTGTCTTTCCGGATGGTCCGCCAACTCGGGCTTGCTCTGGAAAGGTACTTAAATATGTGGAGACTACCGAAGTTGTGCGCGGTCCTCATGATTCTCCAGGACATTGGTTGGTGACGGCTGCCAAGCTTGTGACTGATGGTGGTAAAATTGGTTTGCATGTGAAATTTGCATTGTTAGACTATTCTTGAGTTGTCTTTCATTGTACATATCGAGCCGAATTGGTTGTGATTAATAATTTCATTTCGTTTGCTTGTTTATATGCCTTTTTTCGTTGTAATTGAAGGTTGCCTGTAGAAATCTATGCATAGCTTTGTATAGAAGGAAACAACAAAGAGCTGACTGTATACCTAGTTAAAACTTCCTGTCGACAATATTCACGGTTTTCGATCATCATAAAAGTGTAGGGTCTGTTTGGTAGATTATTTGAAATGTGTTATTCCAAAAAAACTATTTTAAATTGAGTTGAGTTGGATTAAATCAAATAAGATAGATTATAAGAATGTGTTTGGTATAATATATGAAATTATATCAGAGTTGGATAAAATGTTGAAAAGTTGTGTGATACATTTTTGGTACTTTAGTCTAGCCATCCACAAAACAAATTTAGAGCAACCAACCAAAAATAAAGTCCAAACAACCCTGGCTCCATAGCTTTCATAGACCTAGGTAGAGATCAGTTCCAATTGGGCCTGATTGGGACCAATCACTCACGGGCTTGGGACTGGTCTTAGGCCCATGAGAAATTTTAGGGGTTTATGTAATTTTTAGGGGCTTGAAAATTTTATTTTCACCCTTGAGAGATTAGTAAATTTTCAATTAATTTTAAAAAATAATAATGTAATAAATAAATTAATGGTTAATTATAATTAATAATTATTTATAAATATGGGGATTTAAATTTAAAATTTAAAAAGATAATTTAATTAATTAATTTTAACATAAATGTAATATTCACACAATCACACTTCAGAAATAAACAATTAAATAAATTTTTTTTATTAAATTATTCATTGTCAACAATATTTATATAATTCAAATATGTGTTCCTGAAGAGTTCGAGTAGTTCGGGATCTTCAGGGTGCTGCTGTAGTCTTCTCTCTGCATGAGTATAATTCCGTAAACACGTTATCACTTCAATCATCTCATTGGTTAAAAACATCTTTTGTTTTCAACAATCCGGCCACTTGTTGAGAATGCTGACTCGGATGCAATTGTAGAAATCGGCACTGTAACAACTGCTGTAAACTAGTAAAATGCTTGCTTAATAATAATAGGAAATGGGCCCAAAACTTTTCTTTTTATTATATGTAATAAGTCTTCCATACACAAAGAGTATTATTTTACAACATGCCATTTAAAAGACAAAAACAAGGGAAACAGCGTAGCTATTGCTCCTCGCTTGATGACGCCCCTCCGATTGCATCATCACCTAGATCCTGCATCCACAAAGGAAAATGATGGGATGAGCACAAAATAATGCTCAGTAAGTAACTCTCTATCTGTCTATCCCCGTAACCATGTTTTCTTAGTCCCTTCCTCACACTTTCTTTCTATTGTTTTCTATTAACGTTATGACCTCATCTTACCGGAGGTACGGTCGGATGGCGTTCACACAACACCATCTCACTCTTCATAACTGTCAGGTGGAGTTCACACAGCACCAACCCGCTCTTAGTGACTACCGAGTGAGGATCACAAAGCATCTACCCAGTTTTCCTAACTATCGGGTGGAGACCACAAAGCATCTACCCGTTTCTCATGTGGTGACGATCACAAAGTATCAACCCATTTCTAATAACTATCGGGTGACAATCACAAAGCATCAACCCGTTGCTACTAAATATCGGGTGACGATCACACAGCATCAACCCGTTGCTACTAAATATCGGGTGACGATCACACAGCATCAACCCGTTTCCACTAAATATCGGGTGACGATCACACAGCATCAACCCGTTTCTACTAAATATCGGGTGACGATCACACAGCATCAACCCATCTCTAATGACTTTCTCTACTCTAGCACTTCTCATTCTCTCTACCCGTAGAGTAGTTGCATTCACAAAGTTCTCTACTCATAAAGCAAGTGCATACACAAAGTTTTCTACTCTTCTTAAGTCACTTCTCAATGCACAAATAATGCATATGGATGGTTCATCTCCATTAATGCACTTATGAAATGCCAACATGCAATGTTGCAAGAATTAAGGTTCACTACTCATACTTAAATCTCTACTAGGCATTTCATCAAACAACTCAAGTGCATAACAAGACTCTACTATAACAACAATTTTATGTCTTTCTCTAACCATCCAAAATGGGAGAAAACTCCCTCACATAGCCATAAATCCTATCATAGAATAACACTTCTAAAAAAGATTTCTCAATATCCTTCAATTCCATCTCAAACTACATTCCCAACCCACATCTCACTTCTCATAATCAAAGTGTATGAACAACCATAAAGCAATAATTATCTCCATTTAAACCTTAATAACATAGCATATCACATGTATATACATACACACATAATTGCAATTAACTCTCTATTCAAGAAAGTTCTCAAATCTCTACTTGGGTTGGGGTTTACTTACCTTGTGATGGAGAGATCTCACTAGCTCTTCCTCTCTCTTGGTTGCTTGATTTTTCTCTACCTTTTAAACAATTCAACCAAGAGACCTCAATATTCAAATATACATAAAATCTCACTAAACTTCACATCCAAAGCAAGAATCCCTACCTTAGGATATTTTAGATTGATCTTCTACCCCAAATCACTCCAAAAGCCCTCTAAAAATCCTTGAACAATTGGAAGAGAAGTTGAGAGAAAGTAAAAAGGAGAGTGGCGGTGGAGAAGAAGAATGAAGGGTTTTGCAATGACTTAATTCCTTTTAATACAATTTATGCACAAGCATTCCCATTTTGCCCTTACTCTTCCTTAGGAATTCCATCTATACCCTTTGATTCATTACAAACACAACCCCATATCAACATATTCTCCAAGCAAAATCCTTACATTTTACTCCCCACTTTTCCTACTAATTAGGGGTCGAATGGTCAAATTACCCTTAGGGGAGAAAATATCTAAAACTTAACCAACATTTTGGTCGACCCGTCGCCGTGGCGAAAAAGCTTCTGTCACCGCGGCGAAACTGTCCAGCAGCTTCCTCAGCTTTAACACCTCTTTGCCGCGGCGAAGATTCTTTTTCGCCCCGGCGAAGCCTGGAACACTAAACTTCTTCTATTTTCAACCAATTTCAAGGCAAGTATTCAACATACCACTCAATCAAAGGCCAATCAAACAAGTAATACTAATAAACCGACTCAAATAAGAACAAAAAGGAGAAACATTGGCTACGTACCTCAAGTGAGGCGTTATAGGCATAGATAAAATGTCACGTGCCATTTGGGTTACAATGGGGAATCGACTTTAATGTTGTTTCTACCATTTCTCCTTCTTCATCATGTATGACATGTCCATTTGTAGGTAACGATTCAACTCATTTGGTCCATGTATGTACAAGCTGGAGCTGTTACTTTCGCCGTTATGTTCCATATACGTCCACATGCTCGATTCTTGATAGTTGTCTTCATTAGGGTCTTGTTGGTCGTCTCTGCTGGACGTTCTAGTTCCATTGTACCTGCTCTGATATAAAGAAAAAAAGCTTTCCAATTTTTGGTTAAAGTTAATCAAATAATATGTATAATCATGTCCTAAATGCTGGGCTATCTAGTAATTATATAATTAACTACGTGTAATTTAAACCTAAGATCTACAACAAGGCCTAATCCATAAAAGAATGGAATATCTAACCAATATTTCTCGTATTTTTTTCCATCTTTGAAACAATTTCCATTAAGATGTCATTATATCTATATTTAAAAAACTTCAAGTATTGTAAAATAAATAGTGTCAGCATTATGTGTTGTATATAATAGTCTAAAACCTATCAATTTTTGTTGTAAACCCCAACCATGATCTAAGTAATGTATTGTGACAGTTAAAAAATTTGTTTTTCATCTACAAGCCCATATGTCTGAAGTAAGTGCAATAGATATATTCCTAAAAAATTTTGAAATTTGTTTTTAAGTTAAATATTTATTTGGTTATAAAGTTTTAGTATGTCTCTTCAACTTGTACTTCTACTAACAGGGGTATATGCTAGACAAAATGCAGTTCTAATCAAGTGAATAAAAAAAGGATTTTCAGATAAAGAAAGAGGAGAGTCCGTAGTAACTATGTATTTTGCTATTTCCTCTTGTGTTTGGAGTGCATTGTATTGCCATGTTGACATAGTTGAGGATTGTTGATTAAAATTAAGTTGAGTTTGAATTTGTCTACCTGGTCCGGTTGAAGATAAATCGGACAGATGCATTATTTTGGAGTGCTTCTTCTCCAAGTGTTGTTGCATCGTCGGAGTCCCCTTCTCAGCGCCGATAACAGTTCCACAAAGATTACGTACCCCACATGATTCTTCCCCCTCCCCATTCACCTTTGCCCATTTTGATTTGGTAAGGTGTCGCCATACATTGGACACGACCCTCTTTGACGGTTGGGCGGGTTGGGTCGTGGAGTCGTAGCTCGCTTGTGTTTGGCTGCACCACGTCCTGGTTGAATGTGGTTGTTGTCATTGAATTGCAGTTGTTGCCTTTGAAAAGGGTGAAAATGGATCGAACCCTTCCATTTCTTAGGTTGATGAAACATAGATCTCATTTGACCATTCCATTATGAATTTATGATAAAATAATAAGTAATTAAAATGAAAAAAAATTAAATAATAATATGAATAAGAGATGATACTGAAAAATAGAAAAAATAGAAAAATATAAATAAATAAATTATAAATATAAATTGAATTGAAGAAAATATGAATGAGAATTGGATTGGAGTAGAGAGATTGACAATTGGTGTGAAAAAAATTGGAAGTGTGGGGGATTATTTATAGTGTAGGATTGAGGGGAAAATGAAAAAAAAAAAAGACCTTTGGCTACCAACAGTCATGTGTTGTATTAATTGTTTTTTTTTTTTTTTTCAATTTCATAAAATTTCAATTTAACCCTTAATATTTTTGTCTATTTAAAAATTTTAAGGGGTTTTTGGATATTTTATAGAGATTTTTTTTTTTGAAATTAAGCAAAAGGGTTTGGGCCCAAGCCTGGACCGGTCCTAGGCCTGGGCCTTGGAGGAGGGCCCAATCAAGAGACTAGTCCCTCCTCCTATAGGCTTGGTCCGGTTTGGGACTAAGCCCTTGTAAGGACCAGTCTTAGGACCAGTCCTTTGGGCTGGGCTTTTGGAACCAGTCCCAAATGTCTAGGTCTAGCTTTTCACATGGTTAAACTTATTCTAAAATACGACCAACCCTAGAGTAGACTTGTTATTTGTTACAAGAGATACAAAACCAATTGAGTTTGAACCACCAAC